TCTTTGATCCCCGAGCTTCCGTTTGAACTTGTAGAATGCACATGTTTCCTGACCGATTCTTGCCAGACTTTTCCAATGGGCCATATGGCCAGATGGACACGAGTTGCCTGCATCACAAGACTTCCTCCATGATCACCACTCAAACACATCAGTTCATGCAGGGTCCCAGGCATTCCCCGGACCTGCTGACCACCATCTCCTGCTTGAAATAATCCTCCAACCATGCACCTTCCTGGGGGCTTGGTAAGGCTGGCTCAGAATCCAAGGGTGAATCCTAAAGTCTCTACACCAGCCGACTAATCCTGTAATTGGAGGCTGCTCCCTGCTGCCATGTCCGTAGTTCGACTCAAAGGCAAGAATGCACACTTGCTATATCCAGTAGTGCTTGGAGCCCATCAGCTGGAGAACCTGCTTGGGTTTTATCTCCTAGACTTACCTGCAGCTGAGGAGCAGGGAATGAGTATCCCCTGCACTCCCCCTTTTCTTATGTCCTTCTGACAGCAGGCCAGCCTTGCCTTTTATAAGCTTCTCCTATGCCCTGTATGTCCCGTGTCTGCTGGCAGTGAAGGCCTGGCCGTGGAGACAGGAGTCAAGGTTGACTTAGGCCCTGGGCTATTTAGACATGAACTCAGAAGAACAGTTTCCCATCCCTGTGACCCAGCCCAGGTGACTCTGCTGCCCTGCCTTGCTCTCTGGGACCAAAGCCACAATTTCACAATGCTATTTTGCTTTCTCTCTGTCTAGTCTTTTTCCTTTGTTGACACCCCCTGGGAGGAACTGTTGGAACATGGTATTTCTAGTTCCCTGTCCAGAATGCTCTAGAAATGCATGACTGGTTGTGCCAACACTTTAACATGAGCATCTAGCACAAAGTGGAGCCTAGCGTTGGTCTGAAGACCTACTGTGGGTCAAACCGCTTCAGCCATCTTCTTCCTCCAACCCTTACAGTGGTCTTGTACCATTGGTATGACAGCCTGTCTGTAGGAGTGGCATCTCAAAGAATACTGACTTGCTCTTCCTGGAGGGCTGCTAAATGGCAGAGTTGGAATGTAAGGACCTGCCGTTGTGTGGGCAGCTTTACCCTGGCAGCACTGGGGAGAAGCAAGATGAATACAGGTGACTCCTAGGCTGTTCTGAAAATCACCTCACCTGTGACCCCACCCTTGGCCAAGGTCCACGGTCAATCCCCTAACTCCCAGTGTCTGAAAGCCGGATTACCTAGACCACAAACTGACTCACCGGCTTTGGCTGTTGGTAGCTTTTTTTTTTCCAGGGCAAAACAATGGGAGTATTTGGGGGCTGTCCACTGGGTGTTGGGTCTCATACCACAATGTCACCTGGTTTTGACACAATATCTTCTTGTCATGAATTGGGAAACAGGTTTGCTGTGGATTGGCAGCGAGGGTGAGGACAGAGAAGGAACTTGGGAATGTGGGTTTGGCAGGGGTTTGTCGGATCAGGGGTGGGGCACAGGGTAACCACAGTATGTCTTCCAGTGTCTCCAAGTTGAGAGGACACCACTGTCCTGTCACTGTGCTGTTTGTTCCTCCTCTGTGATACTCTCAAAGTCCCAGGGATGCTTCTTGGGCACCTCCTACCCCAGGTAGCTAGGTTGTTCAGGGTTTCCTCAGAAGAGAATACAGAGGCTCTTTCTTGGAAGCAGGGTGGAATGAGCTGGGACTAGTCCTGTCTGGGGAGGCATTACTCTCAAAATCTCCTCAAAGGTCACCAGTAGGTGCCAAGGAGCCTTGTCAGTGGAAATGTTAAAAATATGCCTTCCAGAGCCGGCAAGATGTTTGGGCAGGTAAATGGCCCTCGTGGCTAAACCTGACCACTTGGGTTGGATTTCTGGAACCTACATGGTGGAAGATGAGAACTGACTCACACAGTTGTCCTTTGACCTCCACACGTGTGCCATGGTGTAGGGTTTACCTGCACCCAGAGAAGCAGGGGAGAGGGAGAGAGAGAGGGAGAGAGAGGAGAGAGGAGAGAGAGAGATATTGAGAGAGAGGTAAGGATGCCCTAGGAGGTCAGAATAAGGCATCTAATCCCCTGAGCCACCCAATGAGGGTGCTGGGAACTGAACCCAGGTCCTCTAGAATAATAGTGATCACTCTGCTCATTGTCAGCCTGTGGCTTGTGCAGCTGAGGGAGGTACTTGAGATGATGACTTAAACTGCTTAAAACTATGTAGTGACGGGGGTGGTGACTGCCCACAATAGTGCACAAACAGCCTAGAGTCTGTCTGCATTCCTGTTCCCTTAGGGAAGTCCCTTCCCTATTCTGAACCATGGAGTCCTCATCAGCAGATGGAGGTGAAATGACTCTTAGCCCCTAATATTAATGGGAAGTTTAAACATGGTAAACTTAGGATGGTGCCTGGTGCCCAAGCTTCCAGTAACACTAGGGAAAGAAATCCAAGGAAGTGGAGAGACAATGAGAGTTGGGGATGGAAGATGCCCCTGGATAGTTCTATGTCTAGGATCATTTATCCATCTTTGTTTCTGGGCTGGGGAGCTGCACCATCTCTCTGGGAGTCCTTCAGTCATGGACATGACAGAAACACCAATTCCTGCCCAGTTATTACTCTACAAGAAAGAGTGGGCTCCACATCCCCCTCTGGCTTAAGACAACCACAGTGGCCTCTTTCTGCTCTCCAGCATGGTAATAGCCACCTAATTCTACCAGCTCTATCTCTCCCTGCTCTTTGGAAGTCTCTAGGGAGTGATAACTAATTGTTCTCTTGTCCATATCCAAAAGCCAACTCCAGAGGATGACCTGAGACCACAGAAGAAACTTGTCTTCTAGGCTCTGATTGGCTCCACTCCACTACTGCTGCTGTTCTTGGTGGCCATCCCATGGTACCAGGATCTCTAAAATTCTGGAATCTTTTGATGCAACTGTGCTACACTGTCACCAATAGCCTCTCCTGGGCTCTCTTCAGGGACAGCCCTGCCACACAGTGCCAAGCCTCAGCTGCTCCCCATGTCTTCAAAACAAAGACCACACAGGAGACCCTTGAACATCAAGTTCAGCTGCCAGCATGAGGTGCAACCCTTGCTGCCTCTGGAACACAGCTTCTTTGTTCTGATCCTGAGGACACCCTTCCCAGAAGGTTTCACTGCAGTGATGCTGATGTCTTCTTAGTCACATCTGATTCTTCAGCCCCAGAGGACCAGCCTCCATCATCCCAGCAAAGCAAAAGTTTTACTTTAGTGATTCTGGTCTCTTGTTATTCTCAGCTGATTCTTTGGCCCCAGCTGACCAGCACCACAGAGTCCTAACTCAAAATATGCATCAGACCCAATAGACTCTGTAAGTGACTCTCAAACTTCCCTCTGGATTGTCCCAAGTCAGGCCTCTCTCAACTGCATTTCTCTCAACATTCTTATTTTCCAAGCTTGCATTGAACAGCTCACCAAGGTTTGAAATTTCAGTGGCTTTTCTGGCTCCAAATTCCAAACTCCTCCCACAATTCTACACCAAACAACATGGTGAGGTGTGTCACATCTATACCCGACTATCCTCTACCAATGTCTGTCTTAGATAGGGTTGTTACTGCTGTGTTGAAACGTCTTGACCAAAAGCTCCTGTGATTAGGGACTGATTCAATTCTTTGGGGCTGTGGGGCTGAGGATCTCAGTTCCTCCCTGGGAGCTGGCTGGAGTCTACTTTGGTGTCCTTATATGGGGGGCCTTTTCCTTATCATCTTCTCTCTCTTCTTGATATGTGTGCATGTGTGTACCACAATCCCATGAGCAGCCCAAAACAAAAGGAGGACTGTGGATTGAAACATCTGAAACCCCCAAACGGAATAAACCCTCTGTCCTTTGAGCCGTTTGCCAGAGAATCATGAAGAGCTACAGTTGCCATCCTAATGAGGTCATCTGACTTCTGCTTCTCTTCCTTCCAGCCCCAGAAGCTTTCTCTCGCCTCACATAGATACACATATAAATGTTGAGGTGAACACATGGAGTTCCTAGCATAGCTGAAGTCTCAACCTATTGCTCTTCAGTGGCATCCTATTCTATTTATTAGAAGCCCTTGGCTTAAAGGCAGAAAATATCAAAAACCCAGGAATAGGAAGAAGTGGGGAACAATTGGGGATTATCTTAGAAGTCTGTCAAATGACTTAAAGGTCACCTCTTACCTTGCCTGCTAGGTAAGACCCTAGCAGGGCATTTGCTTATGAGGACTCCTCTGTGGGACACACAGTAGGTGCTTTATGAGGCTGCTTCTATCCCACACTTCTATCTTGTCTTTTTCTCCCATCACACTTGCTACCACAAATCTGGATATAAATGCCGTGACATACGTTTTTCCAAGTGACTCAGGATCAGCTTTAGGGCTGCTCAGGTTTTGTGGCTTCCTCTCTACTGTTCCTGCTTTGATTAACAGAGTAAAGCATGAATTTGACCCTAAATAGGATTTACTTCCCACCCACAGGTCTCTGGGACTGTAATTCACTCAACTAACCCCTGACGTGGTGATCAAACTTCCCCAAACACCTAGCTCACATCCCCTGAGTAATTGATTCACCTGGTACCCTGGGTCCTGTGAGATGCTTCTAACTGAAATAGAATTTCCCGTAAGGAATTAGGTGGGAAGAGCCCAGATGCTAAACCCCAATGATCCAGGAACTGGCGCTTCCCATGTCACCTTTCACTAAGTCTCTATTTGTGTATTAAAATAAAGCAGCCACGAAATAGCTATTAACTGGTACAAGAGGCCCTAACCCAATACTGCTGTACAATTCCTCTCAGTACCTTAGGGGGAAATAATTTCTTATTATTTTTCTATCTACCTCATAAAATAGGGAAGTGATTTAATACGCAGAGTGGAAGGCAATTGTTTCCAATTGGCCCACTCTCACGATGTTTCAAACGCCACCTTCCTCCTTCGCATGGTTCCAATATCCTCCGACACTTCGAAAGGATTCTGGGGAACGTCACTGTGTGTGACTTGGACCCTAGCCTCTGTGTTCCTCTGCAGGGTTTCCCACATATGGACCCTGAGAGACTTGTCCAGCTGCCACCTGCAACCATGTCTCAGACATGAACTCTACTGATTTTCTGACCCAGGATGGTCCATCCAGGAAATGGTCTCGACTCAACTGAAGTTCACATTATGTCGGAAATATTCAGCTTGGTTCCACGTAGCCTGGTGAGCGAGCCCACTTCAAGGAACTGCTAAGGGATGAGGGCTGCAAACGCAATGGCCAAGTGAGCAATAGGTAATGCTGGCAGGTGACTCTCTAAGCACTGGCCGTAAGCCTCTTTGTGTATCATAGTTCCCCTATTTTTGGATTAACCTTATTTGGAAGTAACTGGTACTGTCCCCATTTTTTTTCAGATGAGCAAATAGGCAGTTATGCTCTTGAGAATGGAGACAAACTCAGCAATAAATGGGATGTCCTCATCAAAGCGCTGCCCCCAGGGCTCAGGGATCTATGCTGAGGGGGAAGAGGAAAAATTGCAAGAGCCAGAGGGGATGGATGACTCCACAGCAATCGTGTTTTCCCGATACATCAGCAGGACTGATGCACATACGAACTCACAGAGACTATGGCAGATGCACAGGGCCTGCACAGGTTCAAGCCAGATGGAGTCCCAGCATCGAGAGGGGAAGTAGACACAAGCTCCCATTCCTTACAAAGAAGCCATTTGCAATTGATACCTTCTGGCAAAAAAAAATGTTTTTCTCCAACTGAGTCAGAGCTGATTCTTCTCTTCTGTCAGGAGTAGGGCTAGCGCAAGAGGTAGGCAACCAGAATGGTTCCCAGACTCAGGATGGACCAGGAAAGCCCCCTCTCCTCTCTCTTCCCCCACCACACTAAATTTGTTTCCATTGAGTTAGATTCATGAGCTGCTGGCAGAAAAAAAAATGTTGTGGTAAATGAGGTTTTGGATTTTTAAGTTGTTTCATTTTATTTGAGAGAGTGTTCTTGAATTCAGCTGAGCTCGGGGCACAGCCACTGGATACCCTTGTCCCACCTGCCCATGCCTCCCCAGGGGACAAGGGTTCCATTGGCGTTGTGGGACATGCTACTCCAGAGGCTCACCGTGTTCCAGAAAAATCAGCAGGTGTCCTCTCCTCCATGGTCTTGTAGAATGGACACATATACCCCTCAGCACCAGGACACTCAGGGCCTTTATTTTATGCTCTGTTGGAGCAGGGTCTATAGAGCAATTTCTTCTGATGTCAGATGAGCATACCCAAGTTTTGTCTTTTTTTTTCTTGGGGACAAGGCCACACACAATCCAGGCCTACCTTAAACTCTCTATGCAGTCCAGGCTGGCTTTGAACATCTGGATGGCCTTAAACTAAAGACTCCTCTTTCCTCCATCTCCCAAGAGCCTGGTTTACAGGCATATACCACCGTGTCTGCTTTATTAGGTGATGGGGATGGAACCTAGGACTTTACATGTACTAGACACTTTGCCAACTGAGCCACCCCTGTAGTCCCCAGAAGAACGTCCTTGAAGGGACAGATGTCACTATAGACTCTTTAGTACTCTTTTCTTTGCCAACAAAATCCTAATTTCTTTTAAGGGAACAATGAACCAAGCACTTAAAAGAATCACCAATCATTTACTTTAATGTCAGCACTCCCCACACCCGTTTTCTTGGCTAGTGATGAAACTGGTCAGCCCACTAAAATCCAGCAGGGGAAAATACAAGTGACATTCAGTTAAAGGATTTCTGCTAAGATTTTCTTCCTTAACTCAGAAGTTAAGGGAGCTCTTTCCCCTGAGCCTTCTTCCTTCCCACTCTCTATTTTATCTTGTAAGGGCTTGATGGCATAGTGGCAGTAGCCACTTTGTGACCATGAAGACAAGTCCAAGAAAATATCCATTGTTGCCCCTGACTTTACCATATGTGGTCACTCTAAAGACCCTGAGGCTGTCTCCAATGGGATTCTTATCACGTGAAAACTCTCCCCTCTATCCATGGGCTTGCTTCTTCTTGCCTAAAAATTCTTGTTTTGGAGAAGAACATATTTCCTCTGAATTCCAATGACTAAATCCAACCCAATCAAGTCACTCCTGCGTCATCATGGTGAGATGTGGCCTCCACCTTCGCACATACTCCTTCTGTTCTTGAAGAATATTCTTTGGTTGGCCACACCTAGCCTGAAATCCGGGCGCTCAGGGAAAAAAAGCAATCTGGTTTCCGGGAATGCTGACTCTTTCTCTTCTTGCTGTAGAAGCTCTGATTCTCCTTGAGGTAAAGTGAAGCCTCTGATTGATGTGAGGAAGCGGGCCAAGTGAAAGCCAAATTACTATTATTTCAAGTTGTGTTCTCGCAGCATTCCCGAATGTCTGTGGTGGTTTTGTAGGCAACTCATGATCAGAGTAAGTGCCAGGATGGGAGCTATATGGATGAGCCCATGACAGCACAAAGGCATCTTTCAGTGGGTAGGTATGGTAGGATAGAAAAGATGGCTTCAGATTCCTGCGTGTGGGGTGGTCAGGATGGAACTCAGAGAAGAGAAGCAATGAAGTCTGTTGTGTGGTTTTCTTCTTTTCCCGCCAGATCCTGCTGCCCTTCAGGCCCAAATAAACACACAGAGATGCTATATTAATTATAAAACTGTTGGCCAATGACTAGGGCTTCTTATTGGCTAGTTCTGTCTTAGTTTTTAACCCATTTCTATAAGTCTATGTATTTCCACGTGGTCTTATCTTACCAGATAATTCCCGGACCTGTTACTCCTTTGGCAGCTTCATGGCACCTCCTGGCAGGCTCTCTGTGCCTACCTTTCCCAGAATTCTCCTCATCTCCTAGTCCCATCTATCTTCCTTCCTCTATTGGCCACAGTGTTTTATTTATCAACCAATAAGAGAAACATATATACAGAAGAACATCCCCCATCAGAGGTTGAGGGCTATCTAGAGAGAACAGAGAGACAGGGAGTCACTCTCACTTTCAGCAGATCGTGATGTTCTGAGAGAGAAATGGACGTTGTCCAGATGTTTTCATTTTAACCTAGGTTTCCCCATCCCAGCAGGAAGCTAACAAGGTGGGGCTTCTCATCACTGCTTTGCAGATGACAGCGACAATCAGAGACACAGTATGCAGGCTTGGTGCAGACCTGGGGCTCACCTTACTAGGATTCCTAGTACAAAAGCCCCCATTTTTACTCTACCCTTTTTCGTGTGCCTCCACAGGAGTTCTAGAGTTCTCTCTTCATCTTGTTGGTCGGATCTGGAGGGACCCAGAGCACCTAGCTCAACTCCTTGTCACTACGGCAACAGTAACAGAGGATGCTGACAGAGCTGGGCCGTGACTGATGAGTGCTTAGCCTGTGCCAAATACCGCACTACTAGCTTCCCTTGAATTCTCTGGTTTGATTCTCACCACAGACCAAGGAAGTGATTTGGAGAGATTAAGGGATTTACCTAAAGTCCCAGAACTTGTGAGCCAGGTGGTCAAGCCTGGACCCAGAGCATGTGGCCTCTAGTGGGGCATTGCCCGCATTCAATGATTGTCACTCCTCTGGCTCCATTTCTCATGTGCTGCTGAATCTTCCAAGAGATGCATTATCTTCTTTGCTCAAAATTGCCCTGCTGAGGCTTGTGTCTACACATGCTTTCTTGCTGCCCCCAAAACATGGATGCCAGGGAGTCATGAGTTCATGTGGGCATTTGGCCCTGTTTTCTGGGTGTTTTGTGCTCAGCTCACTGTGGGGCTTTGGAAATCTGAGTGGAGGAAGTGAAGGTTCTCTAGGGACAGGACGAGGGGATGTTATTAACTCCAAGCTTTTCTAGGGAGCCCGTGTTAACTATTATGAGCCACAGGTCAAGTGCCTGAAATTGTTACATCTGGCGCAGCTCAGGGCATGCAATTTGCTGTGGGGAATTATTTCCTTTTCTCTTCTTCCTTGCAAAGGCCATAGAATGGCTGAACGGGAGCTTTGAATGGAGAGGGTGGAGCAGCAGGCATGGCTGTGACAAACAAAGACACAGCAGTCTGCAGACCCATGGGGTTTCCTACATAGCTTGTTCCCCACATCTGTCTGTACGGTCTTCCTCCCATCTGGTAAAAAGAGGTGATGAGTGAAGTCTGCAGTCTTCTGGGTCAGTTTGCACCCACATTGAGGTGGGAACTCACAGTTACAAATCGGAAACTAGGATCAGGGAAGAAAAATCAGCTTCTATAATTAAAGTCAAAACAGGCTGGGTGTGGTTCCATGGGCCTGTAGTTCCGGTCTCCAAAGTTTGAAGCAGGGGGATGACCAGTACGGGTTGTTTTTTTTTTTTTTTTTTTTTTTTTTTTTTTGGCCCTGAGAAACACAGCTGATATGAAACTGAATCTGTATATTCTAAGTAAAAATATAAAAGATCTGTTTTTTTTTAATACTGGGAAATTTTAAAAGACTGTCTTATTCAGAACCTAGAGCAAGAGGATGGAGGGATGGCTCAGAGGTTAAGAGTACTGGCTGCCCTTGAAGAGGACCTGGGTTCAATCCTCAACACCTACACAGCAACTCACAACCACTTAACTCCAGTTCCAGGGAATCAGATGCCCCCTGTTGGCCTCTGCAGTCACTGCACACATGTATTGCTTATGCACACATGCAAGCAAACTCTATACAGTTAAAATAAAATAACTAAAATCTTTGCTTAAAAACCAACCCAGAGAAGTGGAGAAGGCTATTATAGCCAGTTATTTCTGATTAACTTTAGGATATGTAGATGGAAATTTGTATGATCTGGGCCCTCTCCAACAAGTTACCTTGGATCTTGATTTTCAGACAAACCAAAACTTAGTTATGGGAATGCTGGGCTTTACATTGTATTCTTTAGTATAGTTTTGTGCCATCTCTATTGATCAGGAGGTTCCCTGCCCCATATGTTCTACCCAGTCTGGTGTATATAAGCCAAGTTGCTAGCAGTTGCTGTTAAGGGGAACTGAAGGTCATCGAAGTTGATAAATTTGCTTATGTCCCTTTGATAAACTAGCCACAGTGGTAGGATTTGAATTCAGGACACTTTCTTCACTACAGATGGTGGTAAGTTTCCTGAGAAGACAATTTTGCAAGTAGGATCCTGAGAGATAATAGAAAACGATGATAGCTCGGAGCATGGCTCAGTCAGCGAATTGCTTGTCACACATGCACAAGGGAGCTGAGTTTGAGTCACAGAATCCACATTTAAAAAGTTGGGTATGGTGCCTCATGCTCGTAATCCCAGTGCTAGGAAGACAGAGAAGGATGAGTCTCTGACTGCTAGCCTCACCTCCTAGTTAGTTTTTGGTCAATTTGACGCAGCTGGAGTTGTCTGGGGAGAGGAACCTCAATTGAAAAAAATGCCTCCATCATGCTGACCAATAGATAAGTCTGTAGAGCACCTTCTTCATTAGTGATGATGGGGGGCTGTAGCTCACTGAGGGTAGTGTCACCCATGGAAAGCTGGTCCTGAGGTGTGTAAAAAAGCAGGAAGAGTAATTCATGAGGAACAAGCCAGTAAGCAGCACTCCTCAATGGTCTCTGCATCAGTTCCTGCCTCCAGGTTCCTGTCTTGACTTCCCTCAGTCATGAACTTGTTTTGGCTGTGGATTTTGTCATAGCAATAGGAAGTGAACTAGGTAGGACACAGGTCAAGTAAGAGACCCTGCTTCAAAAACAAAGACGTCTATGGAGAATGACGTCTATGCTGGATCTTTGACCTCCACAGACATACATATATGCACACAAATATACTTGCA